TATATATAATAGGATCCTGCTGTGTAGAACCTGCTGTGTGAACCCTCCTGCCGCAGCCCCCAGAGTACTGGGATCACAGATGTGGCCACACACCAACTTCCTTCTCCTGTATGTGAACAGTAGTTTTCCCTCCTTTCCCTTTTACTGTTGTTTGCGCTGAGCCTACCTGTCACGGAAAGGTTTCTAGTTTGGTGTTTCTCTGGCATGTCTCCGATGAAGCTCATGCCGTCTGACCAGAATGGGCCTAGTTTCCTTCCCCTGCACAGCCAGTTCTAATTTCATCTCATTTAGCCCTCATTTCAGGGTCTGTCTTGGCGTACAGTAACATAGAAGGCTAACTTTCTTTTTTCCCCATTTATCAGTATATTTCAGTATAACGAATCCAATAATCCATCCTTTTCTCGGTTCATTCATCTTAATTTTTATCAAGCAGGCAATGATCAGAAGCAAACAACACAGAGTCGGCCTCTGCAACGTGAGTAAACCAAAGCGGTCTTGTCTTACCAGAGCTCCCCAGGGAGAATCAGCAAGCCAAGACTGCCCGGAGGGAGCGGCCGCTCAACTCCACGTCATCTGAAGATGTCTGGAAGAACTACTCCTTAGACGACCTGGAAAAGACCTTTTGTCAAGAGGTGAGAGCCAACGTGTCACCACAGGCAAGCTGATAGCCACAGGAGCCATCTCCTCTGGGTGTCATTCTGAAATGTGGCTCCCCCAACACCCCTCAGACTGCCAGGGCTTCTCCTCAGGATGCACGGATGGTGCTGACAGGGGCAAAGCTAATTTTGTATGTACGTGTGGGGTGTGAAAGTGGTTGTGTGTAGGTGTGGGGTGTGAAAGTGGCCGTGTGTAGGTGTGGGGTGTGAAAGTGGTCGTGTGTAGGTGTGTGGTGTGAATGTGGGCGTGTGTACATGTGGGGTGTGAGGGTGGCCATGTGTAGGTGTGGGGTGTGAAAGTGTGTATAGGTTGAGGTGTGAATGTGGGGGTATGTAGGTGTGGTGTGTGAATGTGGGGGGTGTAGGTGTGAGGTGTGAATGTGGGCGTGTATAGGTGGGGTGTGAATGTGGGGATGTGTAGGTGTGTGGTGTGAATGTGGGCGTGTATAGGTGTGGGGTGTGAATGTGGGGGTGTATAGGTGTGGGATATGAATGTGGGCATGTGTAGGTGGTGTGAATTTGGGTGTGTGTGGGAGAGTATGATTTGGGGTGTGTGGGTGTGGGGTATGAACAGAGGTGTGAGGTATGAATGTAGGGGGTGGGGTGTAAATATGGGGTATATATAGATGTGGGGTGTGAAGTGGAGTATATAGGTTTGGGGTATGAATATGAGGGTGTGTAGGTGTGGGGTGTGAATGTGGAAGGTGGTGCGTGTATGGTGTATATATCTAATGTTGTGTGTTTGCTGTATGTACATGTGTGTACTTGTGCACAAGCCTGTGAGTGCTTGCGGAAGCTGTGAGTGATGGCTGTCTTACTCTGTTGCTTCCTGTTTATTTTTGTGATAGGGTTTGTCTCTGGACCTGAAGCGCTCCATCTTGGCTAGGTTGGCTGATGGGTGAGAATCTCAGGATCTGCCTGTCACCAGCTGCAGACACAGTGGTTGCAGGCACACATGGCCATGCTCAAGGGAGTGGGGGATTTGAACTCAGGTCCTCTTACATTTATAATCACTTTTAACCACTGAGTCATCTCTGGAGCCCGAAAGTTAATTTGAAGTGTGTCCTCTGTGCTACTCACAGGCTAACTTAAAATAAAATACAAAACCATATAAAGAAATGGTACAACTTGGACGTGTGGCTGAGTGGGGGTTGGTCATTTGTGAATACACAGAGAGACCTCTTCTTCTAACCTTGGATTGGGGGTTGGTCATTATCTCTTATCTCTATATTTAGATTGTATATATGTCTCTTGAAAAATTAAAATTGAGGGATTTCTCCTACTGCATTTAAATACCTTGTGAAGGTGTAGCAGTTGGCACAGTAGAGAGCTGGTGTGGCCATGGGCAGTGATCATGGGTTAGGAAGACCATTGCCAATGAGTCAAGCTGTGTCCGTGAGTTCAGCCTGTTGTTCTGGTGTCATTCCTGGTACTGTGAGAAATGCCCTGATAGGAAGCATCTTGGGAGGAAGAGGTTTATTTCACCTCATAGTTGCAGTCCGTCATTGTGGGGAAGTCAAGGCAGGAACTTCATGCGGGTAGTCACATCATGTCCGCAGTTACGAGCAGAGAGAAATGCAGTCATGATGCTCACTTGTACTCAGCCTTCTCTTCACTCATACTCAGTTCAGGACGCCCTGCCTAGGGGATGGTGCTGCCTACACTGGGCTGAGTCATCCTGTATTAACTTAAGACAATCTCCCACAGACAGGCCGACCTGATAGAGACAGTTCCTCACCGAGTGACTGTAGGTTGGGTCAGGTTGACAGTTAAAGCTAGACATCACTCATACAGCACAAGGCATTTCAGGGAAGCACGGCATGGGCAGATGGTGAGCTGGTAGTGGTGAAATTATCATTGAGCTCATCTGTCAGCCAGACATTTTTGGAGGCAAACTTTTACCCCTCACCAAAACCGATTTCTACACAGAGCAACTATTATAATCTGGAATGAACAATGTGGACAAAAAGTGTTGTTTTTTTTTTTTTTTTTTTTTTGTGGTACTGGGCATCAGACCATGCTGAGCAAGCCCTCTACCACCAAACTGCAGCTGCAGCCCCAGCCAGTGGAACAATTGCAAGTTTGAAATCAAGGTATCTTTTGAGTATGGAGTAAAGCCTAAAAGCTGTGAGGAAAAGGACCGAGTTTGACAGCATGGAAATTTCAAAAAGTCTTTTGTGCAGTAAAACTTCATACGAACATGAGATCAGCTTGGCACATGTGAGGACGTAAATGACAGATGGATAGTAACTGTGTCTTAAGAATGTTTTTTAAATTTTTGTTTATATGTATGTGTTAGCACGTGTGTCTGTGCATGTCTGTGCACCTGTGTGTGGGTACCTAAGAAGGCCAGAAGTGGGCACTGGATTCCCTGGAGCTGAAGTTACAGGTGGTTGTGAGCTGCCCAGTGTGGGAACTGAACTCAGATCCTCTGCCAGAGTACAAGTGTTCCTAGCCTCTGCGCCATCCCTCCAGCCTCGATAACTGTTTCTAATATACACAGAATTGTGCAAGTTATTAACGTGGACTTTTCGGTAGGAAAACTAGTGAAGAAACACTGACAAAGCATTGGTGAAAAGAACTGAGAAAGGACACATTCGTATCTACTGCTAAACTGGCACAGCTTGCTTTCCCTTCTTGGCAAATAATCCCAAAATATAGAACCCTCACTAGAGAGTGTGTGAACTGTTCTGGAAACACATGCAGGAACCAGGAAGTCACCCAGAGTCCCACCCAGAGCAGCCCAAGCTGCATTTGGTGACCCCCGTTCGTGTTCTTCCTTGTTTGTGGGTAGAAAGACGACTGTGTTCACAAGCAGTGATAGAAAGGGTTTTCTAAGATGACCTTTGATGGCCATTGTGGTGCCACGCTGGGGATGCCGAGGCAGGGGGATGTGAGTTCCAGGCCAACCTGGACCACACAGCAAGGCCTTGTCTCAAAAGAAAAACAAAACAGTCTTTAAAAACATACACTTTTAATTTAAATGTCTTTGATTTTTACCAGGAGTAAAGCAAGCCTCAATGTCATATGACATCATGATTAGCCCTGTTCATGGGGTGTCCCACACCAGGTTAAATCCCTGGTGCCTGGAATTACCAACTGAATCTCTACATGACAGGCGCTGGCTGTGTGTGGATCTCCAGGTGAGAGGGCCACAGCAGGAGGAGGGTACACAACTTGCCTGGCAGTCCAGGCAGTGTGGCTCTGGGTCCCAGCTGTCACTACCCCTTCAGTATTGTCAATCACAAGTGACAGGAAGACACCCCGGAACTTTGCATGTCTGTTTCCCACACAACATATTAAGTCCCTGAAGGGACATTAGCACAATGAGGGGGATGGAGAAAAGCAGGCAGAGCTGAAGAGGTGGTGATGCTTTTGAAGGGGCTGGCTCGCTGCCGTGGGACTTGATGACAAGTGACAAGTGACTGACACTTGCTGTGTTTCTCCTGCCCAGCCCCCACACCACAGATTTTGCTGTCTATATTGTGTTCTTAGAGTTGGTAATATTTATATTATGTACAGTTATGGTAATCCCCCAGACGTCTGGCCTTTGTTTCATACCCAGATATGTTTGGTGGCCACCAGGGGAGTTCAGTGCTTTTGGCATTTCTGCTTTGTATTCTGATTTAGTTTTTGCTTGGCTGGATTTCGCTGTCTGGTAATTTCCTCAAGAAAGGCTCATGGACGCTCTGCTCCTCTGTGTCCACACCGAGGAAACCATGTGCCTGGTCTGGCTGCGTGTGATGATACTGTGTGTCCATGGATGCTCTGCTCCTCTGTGTCCACACCAAGGAGACCATGTGTCAGGTCTGGCTGAGCGTGACAATACTGTGCTTTGATTTCATCATAACAGAGTGAGTGTTCTTCCCACGTTTTCTGGGCCCTGCTGTGCTGTGAGGAATCTGCAGTCATCCCAATGGCTCTCTTGCAGCTGATTTGGGTGTTCCCAAATCTGTTCTTAAGTGTTGACCCTTGAAATGTGAAAAGTAAAGCTGAGCCTTGTCCTAACTTGGCACATTTTGATGTCACTTCTTGGAACATGGGTGTATTTTTTTTTTTTTTTTTTTTTTTTTTTTTTTTTTTTTGCTGTCTAGCTTCAGGGTTTTACTGAGTCTGCAGATATCTTGGGTCATAACACAAAACCACACATGCCTTGTCCCTCCCTCTTCTCCTCCCAGTCCTGCCCTCTTCCCCAGCCCCACTCCTTCAGTACGATTCCCAGGTGTCCTTGTATTGGGTCGTCTTTGCCCTGATGGCCCGATGTTTCCTGCTCCAGGTTGCACTAACCCCTTTGTATTGACATTTCTCTGCTTTGAGATCCTTTCAAGCCCCTTAGTGCTTGTCTGATTGCCACTTCATTTGTTGTTTTGTTCTTGTTTTTCTGAGACAGGGATTCTCTGTGTAGCTCTGACTATTCTGGAAGAAGTGTGTTGGCACAGTTGCAAAGCCCTCTGTTTTTACCCTGTTTGTACGTAGGCTATGATCCACCCAAGTTAAGCTGCAGCTGCATTAGCACCTTCCAGATGTAGAGTCTTCTGTCATCACCTCCCTCTGCACAGTGTCTGCCGCCTCCCCGCACACTGTCATCACCCTCTTCCCCCACCCCCACCCCCGCATGGTGCCATTGTCACCTCCCCTACAGTGTCTCATCATGTGGGTCTCCTACAAAGCCTCTGTGTTACCTCCCCCTACAGTGTGTGTCACCTTCCCCGGCATAGTATGTCATCACCATCCCTGCAATGTCTGCGTCACCTCCCCCTGCAGTGTCTGTCACCTCCCCTGCACATTGTCTGTGTCACCTCCCCTTGCAACGGTGTTGCCTTCCCCTACTCAGGGTCTGTTATCACCGCTCTTTGTGTAGTGTGTGTGTCACCTCCCCTTGGACAGTGTTTGTCAGCTCTCCTGCAGTGTCTGTGTCGTCGTCACCTCACACAGTGTCTGTCCTCTGAGCACTGTAGAACACATGTTCTCCTGTGGTTGCACTGGGGTTGTGTCACTAGGTCCCACTATAAATGTGTACTTGCATAGCTTGTGGCACATGGTGCTATGTGTCCTGGAAATGCCATCGAGGGATGGAGTTACTGTCAGTTGATGCTCTAGAACATGGTTCTGTTTTAACTGAAGCATCACCCTGTTTTCCACGATCGCTTGCACACTCACCATGAGCATATGGAGTTCTGTTCCACAAACCACCCTACCTGACACGGTTAGACTTGCTCATATTGGCCTGTCTGATTCAGTCTCCCCTGGGAATTTGAAGGTCGTTAGTCTTTTTGCTAAGGCATAGAACATCATTTTATATTTTGAGACTTTTGCCTAGAATATATGTTTCCTGTATATCTACTTTTAGATATGTCAAGAGGCACATACCAAATCTGTGTTGCCCTCTGGGTCACTATTAGTGAGCAAAGCTAGCCTAAGTGCTTCTGTTTTGAAGTCCTCTAGCCCTGGTGGAGGAGAAGGATGAGAGAGAACACACACTGCTGAAAAACACAGCCTTGAGTGCAGAGACAGAAAAGGGCGGGGTGCTGGGGAGAGAGGGTGGAGTCTCATTGAGATGGGCATAGGAAGGTTTTCATAGAGCCACTTGAGTCAAGATGGAAGCTGGCTGTAACTCTTGCTGGCCCATCAGTAATGTCATGGCAAGCAAGCCGTTTGTTACCCCAAAGACCAACACTGGTGTACGCTAATTCTTAGGAAAATGTTTCAAACATGCCATTGCTAAGTGATGAAAGCCTCTGTCCAGCCTGAGAGTGTAGCATGTTTGCCGTTTGTAAAATCATTTCTGTAGTTAGGACTGCATTGGGAGCCTCCAGAGCATAGAGCTGGGAGTGTGAGATGTCCCATGCCTCTAGTTCCTTTGTGTGGTGTGCTGAATTGCTTGTATTTTTCTTACACAAAACCTTAACATTTTGAGTAAACAGTGAGGGTTGTTGTGGTGGTGGTGGTGGTGCTGGTGTTTTTTGTTTCTACGTCACTCACTCATTTTCGAGAAGCTCCTAGTCACGGCAGAGCATGTTCTGGAAAGCCTTCTAGAAGCCTACAGGCCTCTGATATGTTAAGATGGATTCTGTTAGCTGGGTGGTAGCTTGAGGCTTTAATCCTCAATCTCCAGAGGTAGAGATAGGCAGATCTGGTCTATGTAGTGAGTTCTGGATCAGTCATGGCTATATAGTGAGTGAGACCCAGTTTCAGGAAGAAAAGAATAGGTTTTATTAGCCCAGTAAATAAATGGAGACTGCACACCACATGGCACTCTAGCTTCTCTGGGTGAGTCTCCCCCGCCAGGACTCATATGAAGCTTGCTCTCATGGAAGAAGTAGGTGAGGTTACTGAAGTTTTTTATTAATTTTTTCTTGGAAGCTTAGCCCCACCCCTCCCTTTCTTCCTTCCTTCCTTCCTTCCTTCCTTCCTTCCTTCCTTCCTTCCTTTCTTTCTTTTTTGATTTTGTTTTGTTTTTGATATAGTTTTTCTATATAGCTTTGGAGCCTGCCTGGAACCCACTCTGTAGACCAGGCTGGCCTCAAACTCAAAGAGATCTGCCTGCCTCTGCCTCCTGAGTGCTGGGATTAAAGGTGTGTGCTTCCACCACCTGACTACTTTAGGCCCTTTCTAAGAGATTTGGAATTCTAAAATTTATCTCTGTGTGTGTGTATGCATGCACATGTGCACGTGTGTGTATATGTGTGTGTGTGCATGTGTGTGTGTGCATGTGTGAGTGTGTGTGCGTGTGTGTGTGTGTGTGTGTGTGTGTGTGTGTGTGTGTGTGTGTGTGTGAAGTTAGAGGGCAACCTTTGGGAGCTGGTTCTCCCCTCCACCATATTGACTCTGTATATTCCAGGCTCTCTGACCAGTCTTCCCACCTCTGTAGGAGTGCAGGAATTACAAGCACATGCCACAGAGTCTGCAGAGCTCTTTATGTGGGTCTTGTGCATCCCCTTAATCCCTCCAAGGATTTTCATGATCCTGACCACAGCTGTGTCTGCTCAGGAGCATTTTCCAAACCTACTTCTTCTTCCCTGGGTAGATGGAGCCTCCTGTACACGTGTGTCCATTTCCAGACACCTGTAGAGAAAGCTGCCTCTTACGCCAAATTGATGGTTATTCTATTTTCAATTTAGCAGGAAAAACTGAATTCAGACAAACTGAGATGGTTGAAAATAAATATAGTGATCAGCTAATAATAAATAGCAGTGTTCCATAAATGATAACCGGTGCCCACAGGGTTTTTATGAGTCACGAGGACCAGCTTTGAACCAACCTCTTGCATCCTCAGAGTCTCAGGAGAAAGCTGGTTTGCTCCTTTATAATCATCCCCCTTTTAAAACCATGATTTATGAGGTGTCCAGTGTCTATTATGTTTATATAATCCTTATATTAATCAATTTCCACGCCACAAAAGCAACTTCTCTTTTTAATGAAATGCTCCCAGCTTGCAAATCTGCTGGCTTGACTTATCAGGAGTGCATGGCGTGGGCTCTCGGTAGGGAACACTGCAAGTGTATTAAGATGCACCACACTGGCAGAGCCGCACAGTATTTTTAGTGCTGCAGTCGGAGGTAAAGCCGCCATCGTCCTTGCCGTCCCTCCCTGAGAAGCTTGTCAGCTGCAAGCAGGGTGTTGTTTGTCGTGGGCTCATCCATTAAACATTTGGGGTTCAGTACACGCCACAGTAACCTTTTTGATCAGCTTTCGGAGATGGGAATGTGGGGAGGTTTCGGTTTAAAAAGAAAAACAAAAGTGCCATGGTTGCATGGCTCCAGGATGTTGACTTGACTGAGTGCCGCACCCGAATTTTAATTCCTTGCAGCTTTCAAAGTCTTATGAAAAGATCGAGAAAGCCCTGAGCGCAGGAGACCCTTCCAAAGGTGGCTACGTCTCGCTGAATTACCTGAAGGTTGTCCTTGACACCTTCGTATACCGGTTACCGAGAAAGATTTTTATCCAGTTAATGAAAAGGTAAGAATCCGATTGTTTCTTGACAGGTTCCCCCCAGACATCAGCCAAGACAACACAGAAGAACCTCGTTTATTTTTTATTTAGTGCTTTAAACTTGGTGCCACCGAGATTTCCCCACATAATCAAAGGCAAAGAGAAAGCCCTACAAATCCACTCCCAAGCTCAATCCCCAGCTTTGAGGGCCCCCAGGTGCCTGCTGGTCACTACCTTTGTGCCTCTGCTCATTTGCCTCAACTCCGGCGTCTGAGAAACATCGGGCCTCTCATTTCCAGGTGCCTCCAAAAGATGCACATCCTTTATCTCGAAGACAGACAGTCTCCAGACAGGACAGAATTGTCACTTACTAAGTACTGTCTGTCCAGGGTTCGAGTACAGCCGCTGCAGTTTCGAAGAGTCAGAATGTAAATCTTCCCGCACATCGCCACTTGCGGCTCGCCTCACATCTTAGATCTCTGTCGCTGTGATAAAACAGTGTGGCCAAAAGCAACTAGGGGGAGGAAAGCGTTTATTTCATCTTAAGGTCACACTCCATCACTGCAGGAAGTCAAGGCAGAAACTAAGGCAGCGGCCATGGTCCTCAAGGTGGTCTCAGTCTGCTTTCTTATTGCTCCCAGAACCACCAGCCTAGGGGTGATGCTACCCACAGTGATCTGGGTCCTCCTACGTCAATCAAGAAAATGCCCCGCAAGCTTGCCCACAGGGCAGTCTGGTGGGGGTATTTTCTCAATTAAAGTTCATTCATCCAAAATGACTCTAGCTTGTGTTAACTTTACATAATACCAGCAAGCACACCTTGATTGCCTGTTCATCTGCAGGCTGCCTTCCACCTGTTCCTTTTATACAAGGCTAGATTAAATGTTCCTTGGAGTTTTCCTCCAGCCTGGATTTGGTTGTTATAACCCACAGCACCATTTCCTAAGGTCCCCTTCCGTCCTGCAGCCCCCCAGCTGCCCTAAACTGGCACCTCTGAGGACCATGGCTGTGGCTTTTTATCTGCTTCAGGGAATACTACTCCACAGACTGGTGAGATGTGTGGGCTGCCTGTTTCCCTGTCCATGTTAGCTGTCACTGTCAATCACACGTAGATCCCATAGTTCCCTAGAGATGGTACCATGGTAATATTCTGTTTGTTCTTCTGCCATGTTGCGATGCTTCTGTGATGAGGGTGTGCCATCTCCACAGTTAGATAAGAAAGTCGGGGACTAGGGAGACAGCTCAGTGTGTAAAGCACTTGCAGCACAAGTGTGAGGACCTGAGTTCAGATCCCCAGAACCCACATACAGCTGGACTTGGGAGCATGCATCTGTGACCCAGCACTGATATGGTGGGATGGGAGGACACGGGTCCTGTGAAACTCCCAGACTGTATGCAGATGTGAGCAGGAGGCTGTCTCCAACAAGGTGGAAGGTGAGAAGTGGCACAGAAGTCCTGTGACCTCCACATGGGTGCACAGCCTGCTCACACCCCACACAAATCCAAACAAGACAACAGTAACAAAACCAAGTACAATCTGCAAAGAAACGCTGTTGCTTGCCTTTCTGTGGCTGCTTTTCAAATAAGGAGTTGGTTCACCAGACTTGTCCACAGAGAACAATGGGAATCTTTTCCTTCCTTCCTTCCTTCCTTCCTTCCTTCCTTCCTTCCTTCCTTCCTTCCTTCTTCCTTCCTTCCTTCCTTCCTTCCTGTTTGGTTTCTTTTTGTTTTGTTATTTCAAGACAGGGTTTTATTCTCTAGCTTTGGAGCCTATCCTGGAACTCACTCTGTAAGACCAGGCTGGCCTTGAACTCACAGAGATAGACCTGCTTCTGCCTCCCGAGTTCTGGGATTAAAGGTGTGCACCACCATCACCCAGTTCCTAATAACCTCTTCTTAATTATTACAAATTCTCAAATTTAAATGTATTTCATACGTTCTATTTCATTATAGTTATCCCTCCCACTCCGTCTTCCTCTCTTTCCTTCTTCCCCTTGTTAATGTTCTCAGACAGGGTCTCACCCTGTAGCTTACACTGGCCTTGAACTTGAAACCTGGAAGCTGCACCATCAGGCCCAGCTTGTTACAGTCCTACTTGCTGAGACTCCATTGTTCCTCTTGGCTGGTGGGACTTTTTCACACTGGTGCCCGCATCTTGTTACTGGGGCTGTTTTGGTCTCTGAGAGCCTTTTTGCTTTCTGATATGATAAAATGCTCAGTCTCTTCTACTCCTTGCCTGACACCAGGATTGGCCATTCAGGGGAGTGTGGCATGCAGAGACAAAAATACTGCTCAGAAATAGTCTTGTTTTCTCGGCCATGTCACACAGAGTGCCTTCCTTCAGGGCAGTGAGGCAGAAGCTGATGGAAAGTGTCCTGAGGAAGTATAGGCACACTGACTTGAGGGGCTGGGTTCATTCAGGGGCACTCTGGTGGCACTGTGCATGGCAGAGGGGAACCCCCACTGAGGATTTCCAAAGCAAGTAGCACATTGATCCCAGGGAGTGGCTCAATGACTCAGAAAACAGCTCTGTTGGCAACCAACTTTAGGACTTATTTCTAGGATATCTGGAGGCCATATAGAGCCCCTTCTCAGTCTCAAAATCCATAATAGTAATTTAATAGGAATAATGGAAACAGCTAGAAGATGCCCCTCCCCCTCACCCCACGCTCTCCCTCACACACATAAGAAACTTTTGCATTTGTAGTCAGGTACACCCACAGTATTGCTTTGATTTTAAAAATAGAAATGACTGTCTTAGACACCTTTCCTATTGGCTTCATATTCTTGGAAATTATCATTTCAATGAATGCATGAAATGTCATTCTGCTAACATTTACCAAGTGCCTTCCTCTGCCAGACACGGTGGTAGGTGCTAAAAATGATGAAATAGACAATGAATAGATCCCAGCTGGGGTGACCTGCCAAGTGATGAGTACCATAGGCACATAGAATGAGTATGTTAGAGATGCAGATGGCCGCCATGTTCTCTTGGTAGGGCCTCTTCTTCAGGGACCCGGAGTTCTCTGAGGCCTTTTTTGGTATTCACCCAGAATTCCCAGAAACAAGAGCAAAGTGAATGCCCCAGTGCCTGCATCATCATGATTTATGTATGGGTAGAGCATCTCCAGTCTGAAAATCCAAATTCTGGACTATGGAGACAGCTCAGTGGGTAAAGGTACTTGATGCTCAAGCCTGATTGACCTGCATTCATTCCCTAGAGCCCACCTACAGGTGGGCAGAGAGAACTAGCTCTGCAAGATTGCCCTTTGACCTCCATACATGCCCTGAGGCACACCCCTACCCCACATATACAATAATAAATTTTAGAAAGAAAATCCACATTTTGAAGTGATTCTGAATTTGAAACTTTCTGAGCTTTGACGTGATGTCCGAGGGTCCCAGTCATAATGCAGGCTAACAGAACCATGCCGTGTAGCCTTAGGTCTGTCTGTGTCCTGTAGCTTCAAGTCTGTAAGTGTGTATGAAACACATGGACAGTTTGTGTTTAGACTTGAGGTCCCTCCCCAGTATTCCCAAACTCTAAACAATCTCAAATCGAACAGCATTTCAGATATGGGACAGCCACCCAGTGTGACACCCACGTCCCTGTGCACAGACCTGAAGGTGTGTGTGTCCACCTCTCAAGAATCATGAATCGCCAGTCTCCTCTAGTGTTGAAACACTGTGGTGCTTTTCTGACTGTGTTTGCCAGGTGGCCTCTACTGGCCAAGTTTTCGAAAAGGTGCTTTTTAGGCAGGATTTCACAGAGTTGCCCCCGCTGGCCTCAGACCCGTGGTCCTCCTGCCTCAGCCTCCTGGACCCTGAAGTGTAGCCATGTACCACTATGCCTAGCTTTCCCAGGCTTTTGTTTTATTTTGTTTTGTTTTTTATCTTCTCTTTTCCTTAGTCGAGTTAATGGGAGTCTTGTTTAACTTTTCAAAACCCCAAGTCTTAGCTTCACAGTCTTTTCTGTCATTTTTTAGACTCAGGCGTATTTCTCCTCTGATCTTTGCTGATGATACCGTGTCTGTTTTTCTTTTTAGTGGTTGTTTTGCTTTTTGGTTTAAGATGAACTTGTTGAAGATTGGAGATAATTCTCTTCTCCTTCCCCACCCCTCTCTCCATGTTCCTGTTGCTAAAATTCCTTCTGGTTCCCCCTTCTCCTGAGGTCCTCAAACAAAGGCAAGATTCTGCCGAAGTTCACTCTGGGGAAACAATGAGTTTATCAGGCTTCCTACAGAGCATAGGTGAGGGTCACTCGCAGGGTGTGGGTGTGCCTACCCCTACCTGCAGCTCTGGGAAAGCCTTTATCCAGCAGGGGTGAGGGTGTCCCCTCCCCGTACAGGTGGAGGAGGCTAGTCTTCCCTGTGCACTCTAGCTCTCCCTGAGGCCGCGCGTGCAGTCAAGGCAGAGTTACCAACAACAGGTGGAAAGGAGCTGGACGCTCAGGTGAGGGTCTCAGAATCTCCCTCCCTCCATCAGGGCGCAAACAGCCAGTCAGCCCAGCTGGGAGGACCTTCTGCAACAGGGTGCTGCTGGACTCCCCAAGACAGTAGCTGTGTGACTCAGAGGATAGGGTTACACAGCAGTTCCAGCACAGGCACGCACATAAGGAAGCCAGAAGGCCGCTTTGGGGAATGGGTTCTCTCCTTAGGCAGGACCTCTCTTGTTCTGGCCACTGCACAGCACGCTGCATACCGGCTGACCTTGCTGTGGGCTGAGGGCACGCATCACCGCGTGGAGTTTCCACCCTAGTGGTGTATGTTGCCATCACGGGCTGTAAGTGTTCCAGTTTCGCTTCCTCTCCCGCATTGCACATTAACGTCATTTTAAATATTGATCATGTATGAGGCACGAAGCGGTGCCCTGTTATTGTCTTAATTTGTCTTTCTGGGGCTGACATTGAGGTTGGCCGCCTCCAGGTGCCAACCTGCTGTGACTCTACCTCCCGTGGTGAGAGTCTTCCTCCTGTCCTAATGGGCTAATGGCCCAAACGGAAGGATTTACAGTGGATTTTATCACCT